GTATACCGTTGGAAAGGTCTCGTTCCGAAGATTCCGAAAATATTTTTTTCTGAATTTTTTGACCACCGGAAGACGTCCAAATCGCCGGTCAAAGGTTCGCCGGAATAGTGACCGGGAAAACCAGTTCGCCGGAGAAGACGACACTGTAGCGCCGGAGCCTTGCCGGAGTAGCGACACTGTAGCGACACTGTAGCGTCACTGTAGCAGAATTTGAAAAACTCAGATTTGGTCCCTGAAGTTTCAGAAAATTGCAAGACAGGTCCCTGTTCTTTCAGAAAATTGCAAAAATGGCAGAAGATGGTAAAATCAAAATTGACAAGTTTGATGGAACCGATTATGGATTTTGGAAGATGCAAATTGAAGATATGTTGTATCAGAAAAGTTTGCATTTGCCTATGTTGGGCGAACAACCGGATGACATGTATGATGAAGAATGGAAGTTGTTGGATCGACAAGCCTTGGGTGTAGTTAGGCTTTCATTGGCAAAGAGTGTTGCGTATAACATTGTTAATGAAACAACTACTTATGGAGTATTTAAGGCTTTGTCCAACATGTACGAGAAGCCGTCCGCTTCCAACAAAGTGTTCCTCATCAAACAATTGGTTAACACCAAAATGAAGGAAGGCATGTCAGTTACCGCTCACATAAACGAGTTTAACTCGATTATCTCTCGTTTAGCCTCAGTTGCAATAAAGTTTGAAGATGAAGTACAAGCGCTCCTCCTTTTATCATCTTTGCCCGATAGTTGGTCAGGCACCGTCACAGCTGTTAGTAGTGCATCCGGCACTATTAAACTCACTTTCGAGAGTATTCGTGACTTGATTGTAAATGAAGATATCATACGGAGAAGCAATGGTGAGACTTCTAGTTCTAGTTCTAGTTCTTTATTGCATACAGAAAGTAGAGGAAGAAGAAACGAAAGAGGACGTAGTCGAGGCAGATCAAAGTCCAGAAAAAGGGGGCAGTCCAAGAACCGAAAAGATATTGAATGTTGGAATTGCAAAGAAAAGGGTCACTTTAGAAGCCAATGCCCAAAACTATCAGCTGAAAAGAAAGAAGTAAACAATGTATCCTCTGAAGAATCGGGAGATTTTCTCATATGCTGTGTTGAGAATTCAGTGGAATCCTGGATTATGGATTCAGGTGCTTCTTTCCATGCCGTCTCATGCCCAGATATGGTCAAGAACCTACAAACAGGTGATCTTGGCAAAGTTCGTTTGGCCGATGATCAAGTGCTTGATGTTACGGGTATTGGGGACGTAGATTTGAAGACCTCCATGGGAACCAACTGGACATTGAAAGATGTCAGGGTTATCCCAAACTTAAGGAGAAAGTTGATTTCAGTTGGAAAATTGGATGATGAAGGGTTTAATGTTCACTTTGGGGGTGGACAATGGAAAGTGATCAAAGGCAACTTGGTGATTGCCAAAGGAAAGAAGAAAGGCACTCTATACATGGTAGAGATACCTGGTGATGGTGTTCATGCAGTAACCACCAATCCGAGTCCATCTAATTTATGGCACCAACGACTCGGACACATGAGCGATAAGGGATTGAAGATGTTGGCTCAGAAAGGAAAGTTTCCAGACTTGAAGAAAGTCGAAACTGAATTTGTGAATCTTGTGTTCTCGGGAAACAAAAGCGGGTTACTTTTGTAAAAACGGGGAAGACACCGAAAGCTCAGAAGTTGGAGCTTGTTCACTCGGATGTATTTGGACCAACACCAGTTTCATCTCTAGGAGGCAAAAACTACTATGTAACCTTTATCGATGATTCAACACGCAAGGTATGGGTCTATTTTCTTAAAAATAAATCTGATGTATTTGATACTTTTAAGATATGGAAATCTGCTGTTGAAAATGAAACTGATTTGAAGGTAAAATGCCTGAAGTCGGATAATGGTGGTGAATACATAAGCAAGGAGTTTGTTGACTATTGTGCCAAGCAAGGGATAAAGATGATCAAGACGGTCCCAGGAACCCCTCAGCAGAATGGTGTAGCTGAAAGAATGAATAGAACTCTGAATGAAAGGGCTAGAAGCATGAGGTTGAATTCTGGTTTACCTAAGACATTTTGGGCTGATGCAGTTAATACTGCAGCCTACTTGATCAACCGTTCACCGTGTGTTCCCTTGGATTTTAAATTACCAGAAGAAATGTGGCAAGGGAAGGAAGTAAGTCTCAAACACCTGAAAGTCTTTGGTTGTACTGCTTACAGTTTGTTAAAAGATGGTGACAGGGATAAACTTGATTCAAAGACCAAGAAGTGTACATTCATTGGTTATGGGTCGGATGAAATGGGTTACAGGCTTTGGGATAGTGAGAGCAGAAAGATAATCCGAAGCAAGAATGTCACCTTTAACGAAGCCGAGTTATACAAAGACAAAAACAACAAAAGTCCAGAAGATCAGAAGGAGTATGTTGAGTTTGAAGGTGTTGAAAAGAAGAAAGAAGCTCCAGTCGAAATCCCTGAATCTGGGGATGATTCAACTGACAGTGGGAGCTCAGGGGATAATTCCAGTAATGATTCTGAAGATGAAGAAACTAGTCCTCCAACTCCAGAGTCCCCAGTCACACCTCAAGTTCAACTAAGAAGATCTTCCAGAGTCACAAGACCACCAAACAAATACTCACCATCTGTCAACTACATTCTTTTGACAGAAAACGGTGAACCCCAGTGTTACTCTGAAGCTATAGGGTTGAAAGATTCATTGCAGTGGGAGCTAGCAATGAAAGATGAAATGAAGTCGCTTGAGAAGAACAACACATGACACTTAACAAAGCTTCCAGTTGGGAAGAAGGCTCTTCAGAATAAATGGGTTTTCAGGGTCAAGGATGAACATGATGGTACCAAACGGTACAAAGCAAGATTAGTAGTCAAGGGCTTTCAACAGAAAGAAGGAATTGATTTCAATGAATTATTCTCTCCAGTAGTGAAGATGACCACTATCAGACTTGTTCTCAGTATTGTAGCAGCAGAAAGTTTGCATCTAGAGCAACTAGATGTCAAGACAGCTTTTCTACAAGGTGACCTAGATGAAGACATTTACATGACACAACCAGAGGGTTTTTCAGGATAAAGGCAAAGGAAACTTGGTGTGTAAATTGAAGAAGAGTTTGTATGGTCTGAAACAAGCACCCAGACAATGGTATTTGAAGTTCGATAACTTCATGAGAAAAGTTGGTTACAAGAGATGTGACAATGATCATTGTTGTTACATCAAGAAGTTTAAGGGTTCTTATATCATTCTACTACTCTATGTAGATGATATGTTGATTGCCGGTTCAGACATGTCAGAGATCAAGAAGTTGAAGAAACAGATGTCTGAAGAGTTCGAAATGAAAGACTTGGGAGCTGCAAAGCAAATACTCGGGATGAGTATATTCAGAAACAAAGATGGTTCTTTAACACTATCTCAAGAAAAGTACCTTGAGAAAGTATTAGAGAAATTCAGCCTTAAAGATGCCAAGATCAGAAGCACACCTTTGGGAAGTCACTTTAAGCTTTCTAAAGCTCAGTCACCCAGATCAGATGAAGACAAGAAAGAAATGGCTAAAGTTCCTTATGCATCCGCAGTTGGTAGCCTCATGTATGCAATGGTATGCACGAGACCAGATATAGCTCATGCAGTGGGAGTTGTTAGTAGATTCATGTCCAATCCGGGAAGAGAACATTGGGAAGCAGTTAAATGGTTGTTGAGATACTTGAAAGGGACTTCAAAGACGACATTAAATTTTAAGGGAAAAGACGTAGTTCTGAATGGTTATGCAGATGCAGATCTTGGTGGTTGTAAAGATTCATACAAAAGCACCACAGGGTATGTCTTTACAGTGGGCGACACTGCAGTAAGTTGGATGTCCAAACTACAGAAAAGTGTTGCCCTTTCAACCACAGAAGCAGAGTATATGGCAGTTGCTGAAGCAAGCAAAGAGCTTATATGGTTGAAGAATTTTCTCAACGAACTTGGCAAAGAACAAGATGATTGTGCATTATTTTGTGACAATCAAAGTGCAATTCATCTTGCAAAGAATCCCGTCTTCCATTCGAAGACAAAGCACATACAGCTGAGATATCACTTCATCAGAGAAAGAATTAATGATGGCACTCTGAAGTTGAATAAGATCAAAGGAACTGAAAATCCAGCTGATATGTTGACTAAGGTTGTCACCTTAGAAAAGTTGAAGCTTTACATAGCTTCAACTGGCCTTCAGGATAATTGAAGAGAAGGCCAGGGGTAACTAGGAAGGAGTTAAGATCAAATACAGATGCACAGTTGAAGCACAGGTGAAGATTGTTCCGTGGCTTCAAGTGGGAGATTGTTGAGTATGAATCCACAGAAATGTTGAGTGTGAATCCACAGAAATGTTGAGTGTGAATCCACAGAAAAGCTGGTCAAAAATGGCAGGAACAATGTGAAGTTGTGAAGCCACAATTGTTGAATGAAGACCCAGTTGTGTTTTTTGACTACTTCTGATTTCCATCTCTATATAAGAGATTATTCTGTATTTGTAAAACTTGTATCTAGTGTAACAAAGAAAGAGTGCAGATTAGCACCAAGAAATATAAACTCCAAGTTACCCTCGTGTGGACGTAGGTCAGAAATAGACCGAACCACCTTAAATCCCTCGTGTTCTTGTTTTTCGTGAGTTGTGTGTGTTTTGAGTCGTGTGTTAAGTGTCTCGATCCTAACACAACATACTCTTGTGTGGCTGTTTGACAGCACAACCGTGTTGAGATCATAGCAAACGATCAAGGAAATCGGACAACTCCCTCTTTTGTTGCCTTCAACGACACTGAACGTTTTGGTTGGTGATGCTGCCAAGAACCAGGCTGCATATAACCCAACCTACACCATCTTCGGTCAGTTATAATTATATATTTGTTTTTTATTTTTTTACATTTATTTATTTATTTTTAATAAAGGGGTCATGGCTTAATACCTGGTTTACATATATATGTACAACAGACGTTAAGCGGTTGATGAAATTGTTCAAAAAGACATGAAGTTGTGGCCATTCAAAGTTGAGGCTGGAAGCGACGACAAGCCAAAAATTGTAGTTACATATAAAGGTGAAGAGAAGGAATTTTCCGCTGAAGTTTTAGCAAAGATGAAAAGGGTAGCAGAGACATTTCTTGGATCAGATGTTGAAAAGGCAGTGATTACTGTTCCAGCTCATTTCAATGATTCTCAACGACAATCAACAAAGGATGCTGCTAAAGTTGCTGGACTTGAGGTTCTGCGCATGATTAATGAACCTACTGCAGCTGCAATTGCTTATGCTCTAGAAAAAAGAGCTTGTGAAATGAATGTTGTAGTTTTTGACATTGGTGGTGGTACTTTTGATGTTTCTGTTATCAGTATTGATAGAGAGGGACACATCCAGGTTAAAGCAACGGGTGGTGACACACATTTAGGTGGAGAGGACTTTGATAACCGAATGGTTAAACATTTTGTTGGAGAATTTAAGAGAAAGCACAAAGAGGACATTAGTAGCAACCAAAAGGCTTTAGGTAGGTTGAGGGTTCACTGTGAGAGGGCAAAGAGGATTGTTTCAACAGCTGTTCAGACTAGAATTAACATTGATTGCTTGGTTAATGGTATAGATTTTTCTTCAAAGTTTACTCGTGCAAAGTTCGAGGAGGTCAACATGGATTTGTTCAATAAGTGTATGGAACCTGTGGAGCAGTGTTTGAGGGATGCGAATATGAACAAGGATAGCATTGATGAAGTGGTTCTGGTTGGTGGATCAACCAGGATTCCTAATGTACAGAAATTATTGCAAGAGTTCTTCAACGGAAAGTCACTTTGCCAAAATATCAATCCTGATGAGGCTGTTGCACATGGTGCTGGAATTCTAGCAGCACAATTAAGTGGCATGGGTGATGAAGCTGTGCAGGGTCTGGAGCTAATTGACATTACTCCTTTATCACTTGGCTTTAAGGTTAAAGGAGATCTTATGTATGTGTTAATTCCTAGAAATTCACCTATCCCAACAAAGAAGGAAGGTACATTTTGTATGTCCTATGACAACCAAACTGTTGTAAATTTTGATGTTTATCAAGGTGAGAGAGACAAAGCTTCCGAGAACTATCTCTTAGGAAGACTTGAGCTATCTGGATTTCCTTCTGCTCCAATGGGGGAAGTTAAGTTCAATGCATGCTTTGAGATCGATGCTGATGGGATCTTGAATGTTTCTGCCAGAGAAATAACCTCTGGCATGAACAAGACAATCAAGATAACGCACAGTGGTAGTTTGTCGAAAGAAGAGATTGAAAAGATGATTGCAGATGCTGAACGATATAAGTTTGAAGATGAAGCACACTTAAAGAAGGTGATGTCCCATATAGCTCTAGACAACTTTGTTTCCAAGGTTCAATCGAGTCTTAAAAAAATGGGGCTTAGTGAAAAAGACTTGGAAGACCTAGACCAGCAGATTGCAGAGACAATTGAGTGGCTTGATGAGAACCCTGATGCTGAAGAGGGTGAGTTGGAGGACAGAAAAACAGAGCTTTACAATGCATGCACGCAGAAGAAGTTAAGCCATGAAGCAAAAGCTTCACTTAATAGTTTATTTGATTCAGTAAACTTTGAACGTTGAAATAGCTAAAATTACAAATTTAAATTATCTGTTTTAGATGTTCTTTATATGATTGGTAATATCCTTCAATGAGTTGGTGAAGTGAATTGATCCCCTGGAATTACCTTGTTGACATAGTGTAGAATGATAGCACTTTTAAAATCTAAACAAGGTTACAAAGTTACTTTCTCTAATCTATCGTCCATGTACATGTACAATTCTTTAAAACATTCAGGTGTTTTTATGGGGACAACAGGGGTCTGGGGTCAGATCGTTGATCGATGGCTAATAGGTGGTCAGTATGGGGCATAATCAGTCACGTTTTCCTCGACATTGCACCTTTTAGCATAGACCTAAACTCTTTATTTTACACAATCACCCACTATGTAGGGAGGAAACTTCACGGTGTCCTCTCTTAGGAAAGCAATTGACTCTAAGATGTTGAATTCCGCTAATTCAACAAAGTTATGGTCCAAAGTCGTTCCAACAAAGATTAATATCTTCATTTGGCGTTTCGAGACTCAGAAGACTTCCAACTAGAACTAACCTAATCCATAGAGGTGTGCATATCTCGTCTAACATGTGCCCGATGTGCAACTCGTTCAATGAGGACGAAGTACATATGTTCTGTGATTGTTAGGCAGGTAGGCGCTCTTCTGCGGGTTTGGTGGGCTGATTTGCCTTTCAGCAACATCCCACATTCTTTTGATTCTATACTGGAAGTGGGTACCAACACAACAAGGGTTGTTTCATAACTTTACATTTTCGTCAAAATAACACCATATTTCACCGAACCGTGGACCTACAAAACCTACAAAACTGTTTCTTGCAAAATAGGTTTGTCAGTAGGTTTTGATTGGGCACTGCAAAATTGTTTCATGCAAAATAACTTTGGACCCCATTGCTAAACTAACTTTTTTTTTTTTCATTTTCCTTGTCTTTTTATCCTGACAATCTTATACTAAAGGACATTTTGGAATGGAACTCATTCCTATTACTACATTTTTCTTTATACATAATAATTTATATTTTATAGGATTGTACATATAAATTTCTAAAACATAAATTTATGTATAAAGAAAGGTGTTGTGTACAAATCACTTTCCGTTTTGAAAATGTACTCTAGGTGTTCAGATTTAAGTCTCACTTAGAACAAAAATGTATATTTACATATAAATAAAATTGTATGAGTTAACCACTAAAAAAAATCACATTGGGGACAAGTCTGTAGATTTACATATTGGTGAAAGTTTCATTGATTTTCCACACAAACTCAAATTAAATTACTCCATTTTTTCAAATTGTGGGCTAAAAAACATGTATTCGGACCAAATACCCTTTGGTTCACAAACATAAGGCACACAACTTTTTCACTACCTTCTTTAAGCTATAATTGGCAAACTTTATACTTATTACATAATTTTTTAGTTACTACAATACCAACCTACTTTGCCATTTCTTGCCAACTTAACAACCTACTTTGCTATTTCTTTGATTTCAAGTCCAAATACCAAACTTTTAGCATCATTTTACTTCTAGTAGCTATTGAAACTTGGTCTAACATATTTCTTTTATCATAGTAAAACATATAGTACATGTTTGGAACCATCTTACATATTTTGTCCCATTTTAAGCTATTATTAGAACATACTCTTCCATGGTTATCATTCTTTGCTTAAACATAATTGTAAACATATAATATTTCATAGTAGTCTATATAAAAAACATGTTTATTATTATTACCCATGTTGGTCATATAAAATGCCTATTTTACCCTTTTTCTAAAATCTATAATTTATCATATTCTTTTCCTTCTTTCTTCCTTATTTTTCAAATATCCAAAATTTTTGGATGTTACATCTAGTATGTAATGACCCAAAATTTTCTCATCTAACTATCTTGGGAATTGTCAGAGTTATCTACAAAAATACGAAATTCTATTAACTCAAACCAATTTACACCCCATGCAATATCCGGGTTTACAATAATACATAAATACAAATTAAAACAACAAGGGAAAATACTATTAAATAAAAATTATTGTTCTATTCTAACTCCTTGTGCTCCCATCTTCTCACGTACCACGATTGCTACCAGAACCTAGAAAACATGAAAGACATCTACTACATTAGACCACAGGTCTGGTGAGTTGTATTCTAATCTGTTTCATGTTATCGTACTCTTGTTTTAATCTTTCTCTATCTTCACATACCCTACATTCTATCATCTTTTGTTAGACGCTGCTCTATTCTACATATTTCTCTTCTCATCTCTTAATTTATCTTCTACTCTTCTTTTCTACCATTCTCTCTTCCCTCATTCACTTTCTTAGCATTTTCTCAGGCTCATCTCATACTCTATACATACTCTATCTTCTCATTCTTTATCTCCCTCATAATCTTCTTTCTACATCTCTTTTCTTGACCCTGACTCCTATCTCATCTCATACTCATTTTATTCTTCTCACACTCTATGCATGCTCTTCTTATATTCTTACTCTGGTCTTCACACATCTCTTACTCATAGCACGTTTATCTCTTACTCTGTTTACTCTTCATCTTTCTGTTCTCATCTCCTTATGCCTCAACATTTTATTCTCAACTAGACCCAACGGTCTAATCTCATACTAGAATCTCGTCTATTTCTAAGGGAAACTACATTCCACTAACATTACCGGGTACACTCATTCAGAATTACTCCCCTCTCTTATGATCCCTCGTAGATCCTTAATCATTTTCTTCTCTTGCATTCTCGCGGATTCCTTACTCTTAATTTCTCACGGATTATCTCTATGTTCTTAAATAACTCTTTATCATTGTTCCACTCATGGAACCCTTCCTCTACATTCTCTAATCATATACAATCTCATTCTCACAGGAATAATCTATCTATATCCCCAAAGGGACCATACTCTTATTCCCATAGGAATCATACTCTTCGTTTCCTAAGGAACCTCTACCTAATTCTCAAAGGAATCATCTTTATACTCTTCTAATAATCTTTCTCTACACATATTCCATGGACATTCTATCTTTGTATCTCGTCGATAGATATTTTCTACTCATCTAGTACTTAACTCATTAAGTAGTTAATCTCTATCTCCTTTTAACATTTTCTTAGGTATTCTTCACAATACCATCAATATCTACATATACATACATCACTACAAACTAAATGACATTTAGTGGCACAATTTTTAGTGGTATATTTGTTTTGTGCCACTATAATTATGCTTTTAGTGGCATATTCTAAATGCCACTATAAAAGTTAATGGATTTAGTAGCACATAATACTTTATGCCACTAAAAGTCATATTTATTAGTGGCATAATAATTTTAAATGCCACTATATATTTTATTTCAATTTAACCAATTTTTTTATACCACTAATTACTTTTTATTTCCCTCGTACATTTCCCACCAACTATTTTTCATTTTGGTTTTCATTTTTGAGATTCCCTCCTTACAATTTCGTCCAAAAATAACTTAGGGCAAAAAAGGGAAACAATCCTAGAAATCAAAATATTTGGCTCTATGGTTCTAACTCCATCATTGTAAACACTTCGCTTCGCTGCTCCGCAAGACACCTCCATTGCCTCTTCCTTCTTATGCGTCGTCCTCGCCTACCATCGTCGTTGTCGCTGTGTTTCTCGTTCCTTCTTCCATCGTTGAAGAGGAACAATCAGGTATTCACTCACCCCTCTTCTTACTCCTTCATCGTTTCTCCTACAATTGTTCCTTCCATTCAATAGTAACTGGAGCCACAGATATTAGGGGTCGATTGTTCTTTTTAGGGTTCGATTCAAAAGCAATTGACGAAAAATTAGAGAATTATATTTTTGTACGGTCATTGATGTCTTTCAACCGCTTCACATCCACCATTGTCACATCTCCTAACTTTCACTTGTAAATGTTACCAAATCCTCGATCCCCAAGAATGTTTTGAGCTAAAATTATCGGTTGCGTATTGGAGTTCTTTGAATGTGAAGCTTCTTAAGTTTCCTAAGTCATTAAACCCTCTTCTGGTATGTCTGTCGATTGTTAATTTCAAATTAGATACTTTTACTTTTTAGGTCAAACTGAAAAACCCTTTATAAAATTCGTATGAATCATTATAAGTTTTAACTTGGATATTGAATTTTCTTTAAAATATATACCAAATTAAGATCATGAACACGATTGAAGAGCAGGAAATAAAAATTGGAAAATGTACACCAAAACATAAATAAATAAATAAATAATAAGAATTAAGAAAAACTGGCCTCTTTAGTCTTCTTATAATCATCTTGAACCTTGAATGCTTTTTCTTCAATCTCTTTAAAAGGATTCAATAAATTTTCCTTTTGTGTCATGAGTTTTTCTATATCTTTCTATGATTCTTTAATCCCATTTGTTAGTTTTTTCAAAAATTTCTGCCGAGTTTCTATTTTAACTTTGTGTCGATTGATCTCTTTAAAAGAACTCAATAAATTCACTTTTTTTGTAACTCATAATATGGCAAGGCGTAAAAGACTATGTATCACATCTATTGATAACCATGTTGAGGACCAACAAATTTCTCAAGGTGAAGATCAAACTAGCGATCAACCATGATCTTAACAAAATGATATGAGTACTAGTATTCAACCATGCTCTGAACAAGGATCTAAAGAAGGTACTTTCTCATAGTACCTGAAATTTTTTTAAAGTACAATGCCATTATGGGCTTATTTTGCTACGTGACACTTTTTTAAAATATAATGCTATTATTTTTTTGGGTTGTTAAAGTATAATGCTATTATGGGCATTATAAGAAACCTATTACATAAATGGTTCCTGTGACAGCAATCTGTTTCAAAACTTTACAGAAATGTTCCTTATATTATTAATCTGTTACAATAATGGCCCTTGTAATATTATATTTTGTTTTGTTTTGTAGTCTTCCTCACAAGCCGTTTCAAGTGAGTCAAAAAACATATAAGGGACTGAACAAGATTATTCAAATGATGACTACTTTAAAATTAAGGGTCCAGAGAAACAAGG